TGTTTGTCGACATTTTTTTTCCAAATAAAGAAATTGAGGTAGGTTCAATGATCCTGCATAGTATTTAGCTGTATGAAAGAATCGGATGAAAGAGATGTGCTCCACATGTTAGTTAAAAAAATTGTCTCCTTAATGAAAAATTGCCATAATTTTGTTTCATTAGAGATTCTAATTCATTGATAACACAAACTAAAAATTCACTTAATTAATTATTTCTAGCACAGATTCAGTGCCTTAGCACTTTTGAATTGAAATACAGTTTTATTATGGGTTAAGGGATTGAAACAATTTAATAAATTAACTCTGTAAGTGATAATTAAAAATTGTACTCTTTTGGATAAGCAAATTGTATTAACTTGAGGATAAACGTTGTTACCTTATTGAAGGCAATTCATTGGCTTATTCGAATGAAATGCTACCTTTATTACTTAGAGAGTCGTTACAACTATCACCTATCAGTACAAGTGAACGATGTTTATGACTTGAGTCTACGTTAGGTTATAAAATAGCTTCAAAGGAAAATACGCTATTCCTTGACGTTTGATTGGCCATTGTTTCACTTTATTCTCCTAGCCTTAGAATTAACAATTTTGTGCAATTTGAAATAATTAACAACTAGACAATTCAAATGAATATTAGCGTTAGTATAGAAGAATATAAAATTGAAATTTAATGGCATTCATTCAATATTGCAATAAAAAGTTTTGATATGACACTAGTAATTAGTAACATTTTAAAATTATACAACCTACTACGTTATTACTCCTTTGTAAATTTGAAAAGCTGTATCCTGAAATATCCAGCTAAACCTTTATTCCCAAGAAAGCCAATGATATTTACGAATGTTTTAAAAATAAATTCACTTCCTAGACGGATGAAAAATCTACTGGCCTTGGCGTTCTACGCGAAATTTGAAAAAAAAACAAGATAAGGCCTGCAAAGCCAAAAGCTAAAACCGAATTGAATGCAAAATTTCGCAGCACACTCTTTCTACTCTAATTTTAATTGATCCACACACATATAATAGGCCACAGCAGGCTCGTTTTTAGGCTAAATAAGCTCAAACTCAGTGTCATGTTAAAAAAATTGTATTTTCCACTGTTGTGTGGATGAAAATAGTCACCTTTAGTTCATTTGTGCACTGTCGACGCAGTGGGTCAACTTTTCCCCCGTCACAAAGTTGAATACGTGCACGAATAGTACACGAATTGGAGAGCACAATAGCAAACCTTATTGTGCCTAAGGAAAGAATAATAAGTACTTTCTTTCCAGTAGGAAGAGGGAGTTTATATTCACTCAAATTCTGCAACTTAATTGAATAACCTATCTCTAATTCAAATTTGATATTTTCAATATAATTCAATGTAGACGCACAACCAGGCATTACGACTGATTACTAGAAGGATAAAGTCAACACCCATTGATGCAATGCTCCTGGTTGCAGAGAACACCACAACACGTTCCCTTATCAAGGAATAGGCAACGATCCTGTATGGGAAGCTACTGCGTATTCCCATGAATAAATTTGTTCAGCACCTATGAGAAAAGACCAAGAGACCTGAAAACGCAAGCTGGTCTAATACAGAAAGCCATAGAACTGAAGAAAGCTTTACAAATTGTTGACAGGATATATAGCCATTATCTTCCCAAAAACTCAATAGCAGACACTGAAGTACGATTTTATATCCAACCGCTTGACCATTTCAGCAAAACAGATACCTATCCAGATCAAATGCACTGATTAGTTCTTGAGAAAATGAATATAAACTACCTTAAAGATCAGTGACTCTTAGTCTTCATTGACCGGCCATACGGAGAAAACTAAATGTTGTTGCAGGTGCTTTCTCTGAGCTATTCACTTTCTACGCAGCAGTGGGGAAAAATAGATCCGCATTCGAAGGAGAAATAGATGCTATTAAGATAGCACTAGGCCAATTATGCTGGCTGGATACAGAAGTCACCAAAGCAGTAATTCTTTCGGACTCGCAGTCAACAACAAACTTAATTAGAAACTTAGAATTATCCAAAACAGCCGAGTTATACGAATTTTAAAGATTGTATCAGTTACTGAGAGAAAAAACAGTAGTTCCTAAATGAATCTCCAGGCACTGTGGCATTGTAGACAATGAGCGCGCTGACACACTTGCTAAGAAGGAGACCACACTTCTGCAAGGCATAGACTGGCTGAAGTCTTTCATACAATGGAGACCTTAACCAGAAGAGAATGTAAGACTTCAAGTAAGACCTAAAACTCGAATGAAGGAGAAGCAGTGGACAGAGACACTCCAACATAGCCGACTGGCCAAGAATTAAAGTCTAGATTACGTACCAGACATGATTGCCTGGCAAAGCACCTTCACAGAATAGGCACATTCGCTCAACCAACATGCCCTTCTATGTGACCTACAGGAGGAAATGGAGAAGACCCACCGATTCGGTGGCCAGCACCAAAGACAACGACAGAAACCCAGAGATACTAGGGAGCCAGAAGTCAACTAATGAATTGCTATTAACTTTCCTAAAGTCTCTCTCTATGTTTCTTCTCACCCCCCCCCCTCCCCTCTGAGAAAGCCGAAGTCAACTAAGTGGCTAATGACAAATATCTTAAAACCTGCCTTTTGAAATAATAATAGTAGTATTATCCATTGTTCATTAACTGATAAAACGGGGTAATTGGCGTTTGATTGATTATCAAGTATACCAACGTATTGCGTATGTAAATAATGCTTAGTTGATAAATCTATTTTGTAAGTGATTTTTTATGGACATTGAAATAAATCTTTCCATTTAGTTCCTGAAATGATGAAACAATCAAATAACACGTGATTTACTTAAATGGAAATCATTTTACTGAACGAATATTGTGTTGAAAAGATATATATATATTTTCCTAATTTTTCCCTTATACTAACATTAGCACGGAATGTACATTGTTTCATTACAGCTTTTTTGCTCAGGAAGATTGTAAAATATTTCCCAGTCTTCAATAAATTGGATTCAGGGTAGTAATTAACTTGAAACAACTAGGCATTTTGAAGTCCTGTTCCTGAAAAGTATCTAATTGTTGCATTTGTATATGAGATGGTTATATAAACTAAATAAGCTCAATTTGACTATTGCAGAAAGAAAGTTAAAGGATAATACCTTTAAAGAAAGAGTTCAATACTACTTGCTTATTGTCTTCAAAATAAAGGTCTACCTAGGACTCTTTGGCAAGGCTTGGTTTGATCTTAATTACCTGAAGCAAGTGATTGTAAATTTTGTGAGATATTAAAGTAAGAACCAAACAACTCAAATTCAAATTAAATTACGCCAAATTCGAAATATTTAAATGTGTTTAAAGGCATGGTTGAAGAACCAAGAGTTATGATGTGTAGTAGAGTTTCGCTAATAGTCTAGAGACGATGAAATTCACCATCTTCCTTCAACTAATAACTTTCTCTATCCTTTAAATTACAATATCTCATTATAGTCATAAAATCCCGGCATTGAGTGTCTTGAAGTCGTTAGAACGCAAAATAGCGTTTTTTATTTCATTATTGTAGAAGAGATTGTCTTAACCCTCATCTATTCAGCTGGAATTTGAAGAAGATAAATCTGGCATTTATTTTCTTCATACCAATAATGGTCCAAAATAAAAGGGTTAACATTAGACATTACTATTAACCCCATTTTATTAAATGGCATACTTTAGATTCACTTTTGATGGGCATGTATAGGCTGCGAAGTCATGATATCTATGAAAGGCATTTAATTTCACACGAGAAAGTTCAAGTGTATACGTGATAACTGTAGGCGAGGAAAATTCCAATTTTCCTTTTCCCTATTAAAACAAATTTTAGACAAAATAAAAAAGCACAATACTAAAAATACCACATTTAGCCACCCGACTTGACTATGGCCTTCACTTAATTAAAATCGAATTAATCTAAATTCGTTAATTTATTTGATAGTCGCCTGATTGATGCAATGCGAAATTGTTTTTTAGAAATGACTTCACGGCAATATCAAAGACTACATTATTCAATTTAAACAACAAAGTGACTAAGCTCAATTAAAAAAACTGATTAGGATACAGTGAAAAATAAGACTATAGATACTATTATTTGTAATATTTTATTTTAAGTTACGACTTTATTACGTATTGTCAAGTTTATATAAATTCATAGTGATATTGTATATCATTCTTTAGCATAATTTATATGTCCAAAATTATATGACGAATGATTATGATTAACCAGTTCTATTTCATTGTCATCAATATGCTTCATTTAACTCAACCAGTGAAAATTTAGATTTTATCTAAATTTCACTTTCAAGTAAAGCCGCACTGGTATTTATTTCACTAGATGCAATAACACGAAAAATAAAGCGCAATAAAATGAAAGTAGCTCAAACGATTTAATTAAGTGAATTAATTAATTTGTTTACACTAGAACTTATTTGCACTGTCTACCAAGCCGAAACGGGACGTGACTCAATGTATTTGGGAGGGGGACGGCTCTTTGTATTGATAAATATTTCGTATTAACAATTACATTTTAGATATAAAGCTTTCCTAGAAACAGTGCTTCTTACCTATGATTCAATGAAAACTATGTGAAAATGATTGTGTAACCAAATTCATTTAAAATTAAGGCTACGGACTTGGGGGTTAGGATAGAATAGGCCATGCAGTGGCCACCGAAAACAACCCGTCTGCCAACTTAGACGATTAAAACTATTAAATGTGTAATTAAATGCTTACTAATTGCGCGGAAAAGCCTAAAACATGGTATTTTTTGATTAAATTAATAATTAAGTTTAAATTAAAACTAAGTTAGCGTGACATGTTATCTTTACAAAAGTACATTCATCACAAATTTATTAAGAAAATGTTCTGACAACCACAAAAGGGGATATTTAATGAGACGAGAGAAGTCAAAGTAAGTCTGTTAATCCACATTCAAATGTGCTTGTCTGTACAGATGTGCCACCTTTACGTAAGCTTATAGGTTAACCTACCAGGAAGTTAACCTAGAAAGAGCATTTTTGCGCCATGAACTGGTTTGACAGAAGAGTTGCAGAAAGGTGGTTCGAAATTGTTGTGAGGTAAGGCAGTAGAGAGCAAAGTTAACACCACAACTTAGAAGAGTAAGCATATCCATGAAGTCGCCCAGTGGGTCGTACACCGTTTCAGAGAAGCAGTAACCGCTGAAGCCACTCACAAGCAGAAGAATTGCCTGCAAACGTAAATGCAGGATTTATGAAATTAAATTAAACATCTCATCAATAATAAATGGTATAATTTTATAAGTTTTACTTCCACTATTTTCAAATTTCCTTATGCGACGCCTTGATACATATAAAGAATGTACTTTACTGAATTAATTCAAGCTTAAGCTAATTGAAAAAATAGTAAATTAAAAATGATAAGTTAAAATTTACAAATAGCAGGGAGTTTACTTATATCTCCTTTTAAGAATGAATATTTTTACCTATTCTCTTCATGAAATTGAAATGATTTAATTAATTAATTTCAATCGCGAAGGTGAAAAATTGCATTGGCGTCTTTAGAAACTGAAAATTTTGCGAACAGGAACATTGACAACATTAGTGGCAATTGTAAATCATTTCAAGGAAAATTTAATTTAATTTTAATTTACACAGTCATTTTATTAAACAAAACTTACTTCTTTTAATGAATCGTAATGTTTATTCTTTTATAGAAGTGTGTTTTTACTATTAAAAATGTAAAGTGTTGTGCAGAATAAAAGCTAATTTGTTTTGATTGACTGCATTCTCACAAAAATTTAGTCACACTTAATGAGCAATAAATTGGTATTTTTCATATTATGGTTATTTATGTTAATGATGGTACGCAAAACATGGATTTTAGATCAAAGAGTTTCGATAAAGGAATAAATGAGCGATTTTTCGAATTATTTCGCTCGGTTCCCATTCATTTTTTAAAAGGACCAAAAGCTATGTTTGACTATTATCACAGAGCAAAATCATCATCTCATTAATTTAATTTATTTATTTTTAAAAATGTCCTACTGCATTACATTTAAATGAATTTAAAGATTTTCTTAAACATTTAAAGCCCAATATCCATCAATTGCTCATGAAACTTATTTGATTCTAAAACTTTATACTTACGTTATGATTAATGCGTGCTTTTTCAAAGCTATAATTTTGAATGAAATACTTATGATTGATTTGAAAGAAGGTAGAGATATGTCGATTATTTAAGTTATCTAGCCGAGGTAAAACCCATTTATTAAACCATAGCTCTATTCAGATAATACGTTTTATGAATAAACTATAAGATATCATTGCTTGAATTATTTGTAAATTAAACTCATGATTTCATCTTAATTCACAGTCCTGAACATCAAATGAAGTATGTCTTGAAATAACGCATAGATTAATTGAGAATTAGACCATTTGCACTATTTGTTACCTCTTATCTGTCATTAAGAAAACATAAAGGACAATTCCACTTTATAATATTTGGAATCATTTGTGAATTTTGAGGAATGCTTGAAGTAAACATTTGCCCAATGTTGTTGTACATCCCGTTACAGGATTCTCAATTAATTCAATCGAATGCGCAAAACTACCCAGCCTATTTGAGAGGTATAGTATCTTATTTCTCAAATATTGGGTAAAAATTGGTTTAAAATAAGCCAAATCGAATACTAAAAATCTTATTTCTTAGTTAGAATTTCCTTTTTCAACAAATTTAACAAATTTTTTGAATCTTCAAATTCACAAGACAGTGAATAAATCGTAACTTTAAATGCATTAAATAAGTTCGTAAAAATAAGTAGGGAATCGTTAAAGCCTCAACAATTTGTTATGTATTCCTTATATATGCACTATTATATACATTGTTACAATTTTTTATAAAAAGCTCAATATTGGTAAGTTTCTAGCATATTTCGATTGTTATAACTAAGACGAAATACCATTTTTACGTCATTGATAATCTTGTGGTGTAGTATAGTAGGGGATTTGAAGATTTATATTTCAAAAATATTATTTAGAATTTTTGAAGCACGGTCCATGCTCACAAGAATTTATTTTTCCAAAATAGTTTTCACTTTACTTTGAATTTAAAAGATTAATTTTCTTAGTATCTAGTTGAGGTTAATTAAAAGTACTGCGACAATAACAAAGTGTATTTAAATATTTACGCTGGGACAGACACGAGTTCTTAGCTTTTTTTAAATTGGAAAGTTATGCTAAGAATTAAAAAATAACTGTTTGAATAGTTGATGACTGCCAACAGCAATTTATATAATCCAAGAAAAACTGATTGAAATCGGACTCCATTAACCAAGAACAGTTGCAATAAAATCTGTCTTTGTTTTTTTAATTAACTATCTCACGAAAGCAACCCGTGAGAACTCCCCTTTTAATCATTAAAGTGTACCGAAAGGAGGATCGGCAAGTGACTGTTTCCATAATTCGTTTTTCGAATGATTCTGGCATATTACTTTCAAGAGTACTGTTTCATGGGGGCAGTTGGAAAACAATTTCATTATTAAATTTCGACCTGTATTGCCTACTGTCCATCACCTATGATATGATTCCAATAATCCCTCTCTAATCTTTTGGTTTTGGCTTCGAAGTAATTATTACAAATTTCTGAGTTCAGAATAAAAAATTATTGCATAACTATATGCTAGCCGACAATTTAGATTAATTGTCACAACTCCATTCCATGAGATTTTGTGTATTTTGCTGTAGGTCAGTATGCAGTGTTATTAAACATGACTTTACTATTTTAAAAACCTATTTTATTTCAATAAAATGTGCCATGTATATCAAATTAGGCCAAATTTTATCAAATTTTTTTAAATAATGAAAATTTAACCCTTCATTTGGGAGAATCGTACGAATAATGAATTAATTCCAGTTGTTTAATTGCGTCTATTTTATTTTGTTAATGATAGTAATTAATTGATGTTATCAGTCTTACTAATTAGCATCAATTTGTGTAAAATAATTAAATATTATCATAATTGAAATGCAGATTGTTGGTAGAATTGATTTTTCAATTTTTTTCATTCAATATAAATCTCACTTTAACTGAAAAGTGAATTTCATAAAATTTCTTACCTGCGGTAGATAAGTGACAATGTATATCAACATGATAGCCAACAAGGTATTTGTAGCTCGGCTGTGAGTTTTCTCCTTCACTCGATCAATGTGCTTCACCCGTTCAATTGGATTTCCAACAACCTCACTGCATTCGTTCTCATTTTTAATGACTGCGGTTGTCGGTCCGTCCGCACCGTTGGGCTTCTCCATTCTTTTCCTTCTTTCCAAAGATTGTCTGTGCGCTTGTGCGCGTTGATGAATGCTCATTACAAGGAGGGAGGAGAGTGTGATCATGGAGACACAGGGAATCAGCTTTACAAAAATAGCCGTGGACCAATATACGAGTGTTCGGAGCATTATATTCTCCACATAATTGATTGTATACATTTGTGTTAAGTTTGTGTCTTGGATCACGACCAAATCATAGTCACCAGGACCAAGATAAGAACTCGCTGACTCTACCTGGTGTGAGATCATGCAGGGAACAGTAAGAAAACAAGCTGTTAGAAGAACCAATAGTACGGCGATTTTGGCGCGCTTTAAACTACAAAGTCGTTGGCACCTGAGAATACATCTAGCATACAGTAGCCGAAAAACAGCGACTGTAATGATAATTCCACACGAGAATATATGCAGCATGTTTTGTAGATTTACATGTACTAGGAGATATACTGCCATGGGATAAGGGCAGGAACGCATTTTACCACCAATTACAAAGTAAGATATGAATATCACGTAGAGGGACATAAGGATCGCATCTGAAACGGCCAGACAGGTTAGGAGTAAATTGGTTGACGTTCGCATTCGTTTTTGATTGAGGACGATAATGTTCAGAATGTTGGAAATAATTCCTATGGGACACCATATTAGCATTAAGTAGATGTGAATGATTCCGTATATGCGATGAAATTCGACCAAACCTGGAATTTTCTCACATTCTGGTTTAGGTTCTGAGGTATCAGTGAAATTCGGGTTTAGTTGTATCATTCTGCTTGGATTCAGAAAAGATTTTTATAAATAAAGCATTGTACGATTATATTAAATTATTTGATTGATGATATAATATTAATGATCGATTATTTATTTACATATTTGATTTATAAAATTGAACGTCACGGAATGTTGATCCAGTTTCCTAGTTATAACGGATCTGAACTATTGAAGTATTTTACACAATTAACCCATAACAAATAAAAGTGAATTTTTAAATGGATGAATGTTATGAAATATAATACTTCTCTTTTTAATAATTTTTAAGTGGAGATCTGAATGTTTAAAATTTAATTTTTGGCGCTTATTAAAATTTTTAAAATAGATATCTTTACCAAATATTAAAACTTTATATGTTTTAAATTTTTTATGAAAAATGAACAAAAAAGTACCATAACATTATATTATTAAAAAAACAATTTTATTTTTTGCGAATAGGCATAAAACTTTCAACTTTTACTAACAGAGGAGATCGGCTAGAATTCCTGCTATAAGTATCTATGGAAAAGATATAAAGACATTATTTTTACCTTCAGTAAAAATAATTTCAAACAGGTTCGTGAAGATCTATTAAATAACACTGAATTCCCGAATTCCTCTCAGATCAATGTATAAAGAAATCACTGTTACATGATTGGCTATCCCTGATTCTTCCTGATTGGTCGGATTAAGTTTCTCGTCAGCCTCTAATAGCCGGACGCTTTATGGCGCTTTATGTATTGTGGAAATTTAAATCGATAGATAGAAATATTTTTTGCGTTTATTGATTTATGACTAAAGACTTACTTTTACTCAGATTTTCCCTTCCAAAAGTGTGCGAACTCTTTTTACTAACAATATCAATTAAAAGTTTATACAATTATTCCTAAATGTATCAATTTTCGAATTCAGAAAAGTGATAAAGAAAAATTCAACTTATATTGCGAGATTATCATAATATTACCACATTGCTTTATCGTTTTTGAAATGGAGAGTATTTGATTATTTAGCGATTCGCTGGTTTGCTTCAAAAAATTCACTATTCCTTCACTAACATACTAAACGAATTCTTCTCCAAATTCCACAAAATGTTTACTTTTACTGTTGGTTGTTGCACTTTACATGAGGTTTTCTTTATAAGGCCGTAAAATAGAATGAAGTAATGCCGTCTACGCGATCTTAAATTGGAAGAGGTTGCAGAGAAAATTGAACTTGAAAAATTTTAAATGATAGTAGATTGAAGATTATGCAATAATAATTCATAATATTTGAATTTGCGAAACCTAAAATAGCCAACTTTGAAAATATCTTAACTATCCTATTGTTTTAATAAGTATTTTACGTAACATAGCTGGGAATATAGAGTGGCATTGTTTCTTTTCTTGAGTGAAAGGCAACATTCTTTGTGTGTTTTTTTTAAAAATTATTTCATTTCTTCTGTTCTCCAAACTCACACCTATTGCGCCAGTCTATTTTTATTTCAGCAGAAAATTATCACCTCAGCTAATAATTACAGTGCACGACCCGCCACTTTATTTTTTAACAACTGTATTTAGTCTTGGCCAATTATCCCCCATCATTGAAATCCATTTCCTTCAAGAAGGGTTGGTGCTCCAACCTTATTTTTTGCTTTAAATTACCCAAGTTAAACAAATTGATGTGTTTTTAGAATTTGATTTTCTTAAATTCTTGTTTACTCAGAGTATGTCTCTTTAAAGAACTAATTAATGAGAATGTTAGTTTTGATGTGTTTTTTTAAAGGAATTTTAAAGTTTGTCTAAATAGTCTCTGAAGTGAATATAACCCAGACATGATATGGGTGTAAGTGATTAAACGTAGGAATATATGCTGAATTCAGTTTTCTGAGATCTTGCAAATAATTTCTATTTTGAATAATTGTAGTTAACTAGTGAGTTTCTGCATTCAGAGGAAAAACGAATGAGATCTGATACAGTGGAGAGATTGTGAACTAATGACAATTAGGTCAAATAAAATTAAGAGTTGTAATTAATATGAATTCTAAGGCTTTGAGTGCAGGTAACCAAATGATGGTCATGGAAATATTTATTTAGACCTCATTTACATCTAAATCACACATATGGAATTGTCTACTCTCTATTTCAATGCTTGTCATCCGGATAATTGAATGCCGCTATTGGTCACGCCATCTCAATAAATGCTCGCTCTATAGGTCAAGAACAAGTTGATGAGGCTTGAAATGATGGATTTAAAGAATAAAGTGAATAGTAGATAGCAAAATATACGTAATTATTCTTTTGCTAAAACAAAGCCCATAATGAGCGCGTGAAAATTAAGGCTCAAATAGTAAGCTGACGCCACATAAAACAGTTAAATCTGATTAAATACCAATTTTTACTGAACATACGACTTTTGGTTAATGAATGCTTGCCACTTATGTCGCGGCCGAATCATAACGATCACACAAGGCAAATGTCGAACGCCTCAATTCGTCGATTTCATTAACATGGGAGTTAAGGAGAATTGTGCAGTGGCTGTGGATTTTCATTAGAAGCTTTTATTCATTTGCTCTGGCTCATTTAATAAGACAATTCATTTTTTTCAAATACTTGAAGAAATTATGCATTTTAAAATACAGTCTTATTAAAAATGGTACCAACACCTCCACCCCCCCCCCACCCCCACCACCTTCCATTTTCAAAAATAAAAAAGCATAAATTTGAAACATTTAAAACCTAAAGCACAAGGTTCAACGAGGTAGTGGTTTAGTAAACAATGCTTACGCCTTTCAACATCACTAGATATAGCGTCTATCTGCTGTGCATGATCCTAATGTCGACATAAAGATGTTTGTGGTAACTTGTCTTGAATTACGCGTTCAATTAAATAGGTGCTCAAATGCTACGTTGGAAAATATGTCATGCAATTCTATGTTAAACGTTATATCAAGTTTGAATCAACGCATAACTAAACTTGTTTAAAAGTAATTTTCTAGCTTAATTAGAACTAATAAATGTTCATAATTTTATGACTTAGTACTAAACAAATTTGTTATATCTTGTAAAATATTGAATGACATTGCTGAAATTGGTTTTTATAAAATTGAATAAGATTTTGGCAACTAAATACCTTCAAAGGGCGGTAAACGCGAATGGTAAGATATGTAGTGCGTAAATTCGGCGTTTATTTAACTCACCACCTCATTAAGCGTTTCTGACCAAAATTAACATATCCAGACTGAGTAATAAAACTTCACGAATATGGCCCTCAAGGGATTTTCGCAACTTGAGATCGTGGTTTTGGGAGTGTATTTGATGTCTGCGCGGGGATGGCAAGACATCCAAATCTGCACATTTGGCATAATCGATCAGCCAGAGGAGTTAACTTGCCAAAGATTTATTACATCTTACTTGTTAATCGAAATCCTTCAATGCACAGTAGTTGTGCTGATTGCTTATAATTTTAGATTTTTACTTTCATTTAAAATTATGTAGATAAATTGCCGGTAAATAAATCTCGCATAAAATGGTCTGCTTCCATAGTTTATTTCATGGAATCAGTGCATAAGTAAGTAGGCGGCATTTTGACGTGGCATTTGAAAATTCTCAGTCCTGTCATTTGGTATTTCGTTTTAAAAAATAAGTCTGAATTTAATTAAATTTATAGAAATTTATTGTATGTCATTCATTATTCGTAACATATTCTACGTTTCCTCAATGCTTATTTTTTAAAAGTAAAGTGAGCATGACTAATTAACATTTTTAAGTCCTAAAGCAGAATACGAAAAACAGTCAATCAAATATATATATATATATATATATATATATATCAGACGGTTCTATGATGTGTTCGAGAATTCCATGTTCTTATTCTATTGAGTGGTTGAGACCTGAAGAAAGGGGGTTCAGAACACTTTTTTCAATCTCGATTTATTAAAATTTGTTGAGTTAGGTGACCCATCATTAATTAAAACTACATCTCTCAAATGAACCATTTCTTTTGAGCGCGCTAATCAATATATTTGAAATAAAGCAATTGCCTCTGACAAACTGAAATACAAAATAGCCTAATTATAATTTGACGGTACTGAACTACTCTCATTATCCCTCATTTTATATCGACTAATTCAGTCCAAACAATCTCGAGTTGCAACAAGTGATTCGTATTTTAGTATATTTATCTGTATCTATTCCTGTTTCCTGATATTGGACGTACATTCCGTTGAAGTCATCTCCATAATTGATACCTCTCCTTTCATGTCTCACATTTATCTGTACATTCTGTGGTGAAAATTTTATTCTAAACGCTTGAAAGCACACAGAAGCGGAGTGATATAAAATGAACATTCGTGTCCTGATGCTAAACGTTCTACCTGTCCTTTTTTATTCACCAAAGCGAGAAATTACTAAACCCGATAAGACCTGCAATAGGCCTTCCAAATGATAATAAAATATTTATCGTAGCTAGTAATATCATTACGTTTATTACATGGTCACTTGATGGTATAATGGTAAAATTGTTTAATATTCCCTTTCATTTGAAACAAACGCATTTGACAGTCTATTCTTCATATTTATTTTTAAATAACCTAGTAAATTTATTTTATGGTCTTATTAAAATGGAAATAATCATACAATTTGAACAGTCTTTGAAAAAACAAGTAAGGTAAATTGATGTTTCTTATTTTCTAATCTTAAAAAATTAACGTGGTACTTTCTTTTGCTTTGTATAAATAAATAACTTTATAGTTAGCGATTGGAATATTAAATTTTCTTTAAACAATAGTATTGGGAAAAGATTTACAAGTGCCTTTTTGGAATTCCTAACAAAATGGTAATCGGTAGACAAAAAGAGTGCCACCATAGAGGTCTTTTAATGCGGTCGTGACATTTCGAATTCTGGATAATTACTCCTGATATAAAAAGGTTGGCAATCAATGCGTTTCCACTCGTGGCACCCTCCATTTTCATCTTTCTCTCAAACGATCATCATCATCATCAGCAGTGGTGCTTCACCATCTGCATGCATTACTTCTAATT